TGCCAGCCCTGCACCAACCGGACGCCTGGCAAGCAACCCTACAATATCCGGACAAATAGTGTCCCGATCGTACATCGGTCAGGATGTGGGACAAAGTTAAATATTGGGACATCTGGTCACCCTACACCCATGTCAGTAATTTAGGAGGGCCCTTGTACCACTTCGGGCTTTACTCAGAAAATCAGGAATCATTCTGAACTTACCTCCCTATAATCCCACGATGTGCACCAGTGTGAGAAATGGAGTCTTCGTCTGCCTCTGTTCTGGTCCCAGACTGCCCGAAGTGCTCCTTGCGCTTTGAAGTGGAGCCAGCCTACCTGGAGGTGTGGGGAGGGGAGAGAAAACCCCTTTCCCACTCATCAGTCTCTGAGCCCCTTTCCCTGGCACAGCTAAGATTAATAGGCAGAAAACCAGATAAAAACAATTCCCATTTCCCTACAGCCTGAAATTGGAGCTCCCTTTCCTGAGGTCCGTGGGCTGAAAGCCAGACAGGCACAATGCCCATTACTCTGCGGCCCGAGAGCGACCCTCGCAGTCGTGGCAAGCTTCTCTGCACACCCAGCTAAGCTGAAGGCTGGGGAAAGAGCAGGGAGCTGGAACACTGTGAGAGAGACTCTGTGAGGAGAAAAGTCCCAGCTACCACTCCACCAAGGTGGGAAGGACAAAGGGACTTAAACTCTGATTTTTACACTGCTTGCTCATTAACAGTACAAAATGCTGCTTTGTGAAGGGGACAATTGATTTTACCTTTCTGGGACCTGGAGTCTCTGGAGTTTGCAAGACCTGCTCCTGAACAGGCTGTGAGGGGTTCTCATCTGCACGGGAATCCTCATGCTCCTGGGCAAGGCTCTCACGGTTGAGGTTTTGGGTGGGATTTGAGGCCCTACACACCTGCCTCGACACCATGCCCTAGGAGAGAGAGGGTTGGTGTTTGTAGCAGCAGGGCATACCTCGCCTCCTGAGGCTCTTGTAAAAGCTGCCTACAGCACCTCTTGGATGCCTCCGAATTCCAGAGGTGTGGGGCATTAAACCATTAGTGCTGAGAGAAACTGCAACAGAAAGGGGCTCTTCTGCTGCTTTTCAGCAGTTACCAGACATCACTTTGGAGTTTTGCTGAACAGGAGAGAGGCAGCTGCCACATGTCAAGACAGCAGGCAGAAATGGCTGGCAGTACAGCTCAAGTCCCCGGGCCCTACAACACGGACATTTCACCAGAACCAGGTGGAAAGCCTAGGCTGATTGGTTGCCATGCGCCCACCAGGCCTCGGGCTCACCCCAAATGCTGATGACACAATGTGGGTGGAACAATAGTTCTCTGACGTCCAGTAAGTCTGGGTACATGGGGGAAGCCCCATTGTATCACTGAGAAAGACGAGGTGCATTGGAAGGCTTTTCCCCATTCTTTTTGCTTCTGCTTCTTAATAAATCAATCTTGGGCCCTGGAGACCCGTTCTTTGTGTAAAATGAAGGTGAAGAGATGCTGGAGGGCCTTGATGTGAAGCAGCTGGGCAGTAGGGGACTAGGTGGAGGATGGCGGGCTCTTCTCTTGGCACCTCCTGCAGACTCTGCTTCTGGTGGAGGCAATACTTTGCCCCATGAGCTGAAGCTTAGGACCCCTAACTTCAAGGGCCCAGACCTGGAGGGTGTTGTGGATGCCGTGCATGGCTTTGTAGTAGATAATTCAGGATGCAGCTGGGCTTAGAGGGATGCTGGATCTGTGCCCGCGAAGAGTGGTGGTGCTCAGTGGTAGCAACAGATGAGGTTACACTGGAACAAACAGAAAACAGACACTCCAAAATGAAAATGCGGAGGCATCATTTATAGATGTAAAATATTTTTATTTGTAAATGCTGATCTTCTAAATCTGTTTTCACAAATTCCAAAACCCATAACACTCTGTATACTTCAAAATTTTTTTTCTTTTTTTTTTCTTTTTTTTTTTGCCAACATTAGATACTATTATACAGAACAGAAAAAACTGTAGGACAAATACTGGTAGGATGTTGGAATATTGTACAAGAGAAGAAAAATATTCAAGAAACAATTTCATACAGCTATTTATCAAGAGAAAAATATATACAATTGATTTATTCTGTAAGATAAAAATACATCATGCCATATACATTACAAGTTCAGAACTGTATTACTGAATATACCAACAGTTTACAGTCCACTTTAATTGTGCACACAAAAAAACTTCATTTTTTTTATATTTAAACCTGTGAAGTGTCAGTACCAGAATTTTAAGTACAAAATAAAAAGCTAACCTGGTTCAAAATGCTGATTAAGTTTCTACAAGCAAACACAAAACAGTGTTTATTTTTTAAAAGAAATGTAAACAAAAACAATCCATACAAACACATTTTTAAATTACATTTTCCAAAACCTTATTGCCAGAGTCCTGCAGCTGCAAGCACAATTACATCTAATTTTTTTCCTTGTTTTTTCTTTTAAAGAAGGCTATCTATCATATTGGACTTAAGCTCCCACTACATGATCCTATTCTGTTTACATGATTTAGTGTAAGCTGAACAGTCACCTAATCGTGACTACTTTTTCTGAAGGAAAAACCACGTTCAGCCTCTATTTTGGGTGGTTTTAGCAGTTATTCACAGTTATCACAAATTGTAAGCACAAAAAAACCTGACTTAAGAAATAGGGATGCAACAATATAATACAAATAAAATAAATCAGTCTAACTTACCCAAGCGTCTATAAAAGTCTAGTTGTAATATACATGCCTTCTACCAGGCTTAAAGATTACTTAAAAAAAAAAAAAAAAAAAAAAGACTAATAGACCACAGTTGAGCCAGCTTTAAACATTTAAAAAAAAATCCTCTCTTTAAATTGAGATTTTGGTTATTCCATAATAATTGTAATGGCATGGTTAGTAACATATGAGATCATATTGTAACATCCCTATTGACATTTTATAATAAGCACCCGAACTGCTGCAGAGTCTGGTAGCATTTGGTCAATAACTATTTTTTTATACTGTATTTTTTTCTCAAAATATTTACACTTTTGTACAAAGTAACAGGGTTTGTTAGTTCTGCGGGTAACAGCAGCAGCTTGGCTTTCTTCTAACTTTTTTTTTTTTAAAAATAGCTTCATTCACTTATTCAATAATAAATACAAAAAGTTTCTCTTATTTTACAGAAATCAAAAACTACAATAAACTGACTCATGGAATCAAGTATTTTAAATGTATTTTAGTGCAAGTTATTTTTCCCTTAGCTCTATCCCTAAGGAAGTCGTTTCAGTACATTCCTTGTTCAGTGGTGTCTACTTTTATTTAAAAATTTTCTTTAATTAGAGGGCCTGCCCCTTTATCAAATAAGGCTGTGGCCAGCACTTTGGACTTCTCCCTTTCGCTGGTGATTTCAGTCTTACATTCATATATGCCCACCTGCCCTCCAGCAGGTCAGCCATCGGTTCTTTGCCCAAATTAAACAGTTTCTCCGTAGTGAGCTCAAAAAACAAAAGTGCTGGACCATTCTGTAATTCAGTTTAACCTCCAGGCATCTGGGAAGTTAGACAGCTTCAGATTTTGCCGACTTGCTTCTGGTGCTTGTTTTACACTTGAATAGAAATTGAAACTCCCAGAAGTGATTTTATTTCCCCCCCTCCCCAGGAAGGTAAGAATTTTCTGTCGACAAAATCAAAATGTAAGTCACTTCTTCTTAGGGACAAGCAACCCTCAAAGACAGCAAGGAATGCATTCTAGTTCATCCATTTTCGGCAGTTTACAGCTCCACAGTGACATGGGATCTTGTGCTGGTCATCTTCAAAATCAAACTTATAGTCATAGCAAAGCTGGAAGAAAACAAATGTTAAGAGCGTGGTTATGAAATGTCTGGTCTGTATTCTTCACTATATCTTTGCTTGTATCTATCATTCTATACCAGCGGTTCTCAAAGTGTGGGTCGGGACCCCATTTTAATGGGGTTGCCAGGGCTGGCTTAGACATGCTGGGGTCCAGGGCTGAAGCCCAAGCCCACCTTCCAGGGCAGAAGCCCAAGGGCAGCAGGGCTTGGGATTTCCTCCCCGCCCCAGGGCAGCCGGGCTTGGGCAGGCTCAGGCTTCTGTCCCCTCTCCTGCGGCTGTGTAGTAATTTTTGTTGTCAAAAGGGGGTCGTGGTGCAATGAGGTTTGAGAACCCCTGTTCTATACTATACATTACACTAGTCAGTACATTATATACTTTTGGGAACTTCAATTGTTTATACTGAGGAAGGGGATGGGAAATGTTGGACACCAGGATCTGTCCCAAGTCTGAGTAAGCAAGTTTCCTGTGCTAATGATAGTACAACATACATAGTCATTTAGGGAAAATAATAAAACTCAAGGGAACAACAAAATAAAAGCAAATGAGTAAGGTCTACCTCCTCCCCTTTCTGGATTCTCCGGTTGGAGCTGATGATAATCTTGTGTCCTCTCTCAAAAGTCACCACCTCAGCCACGCAGTTCGGTGCACATGAATGGTTAATATACCTACAAAAATAAAAGATTTGCAAAATGTATTTTTTAGGCTATGTAATTGGACACGAATCTAAACTAAACTATAGAGTGACTTTAGCTTCAGTGTGAGCGGATTTTTCCAGCTAAAATTACATTACCCTGTACTTGTTTCTTTACCTAGAAAAATGTAAAAAAAAAAAAAAAAAAAGTCAAAAGTTAAAAAAATTACATTTCTTTTTCTACAGCTGTATGTCTGCCATGGCACAGTTAATCAGGGCTATGAAGAGTTAATGAGAAAGATGGCATTGCTTCAGTGGCTTAGTGTGAAGACTGAATGCACCAGCTTAAAGAATAAGGCCATTGAAAAAAAGCACAAAATAGAATTCCTCCCCAACAGCTAGCCAAGGGAACATGGCTAATTTCCAAACATGAGATCACAGCTCTCTGGAGAGCCACCCACCTTGCAGGACCTCCTGTCAATGTAGCATCAATGACATGATCATTGTCAATGCGGAACATGTACACTCCACGATTCTGAAAGAGAGTAGGGAGAAAAGGAACTATAGATTTTACAAAAAAAAATCGTGATTAAAACAAAGCAGCAACATGGACCATCTCCAAGTACTTTTCTGGATTCACAATTAGACATGGCCCATTGGCTCACTAAGGAAGTACTGATTCATATATTGCACTTACTGTGTGAAAGTGGGACACTATCATTTACTCCACTACCTATGAGGAATGGATGGGCCATAAACACGAGAGGCAACCTCCTGTGATTTTAATATCCCCCTCAAATAATATGCTAATACGATTTGTATAGCACCTTTCATGTAAGGTCTCAAAGTGCTTTACCAATGAATGGTCCCTCACAACATCCCGGCATTGCACAAAGAGGTCAAGCCTTACTTAAAAAGTGGTCCCTAAAAATGCAGGTTCTGACCTCTCTGTGCTTGTACAACTGTAAGATTGGTACATTACCTGACTCACTGGCGTTTGTGAGGTTTAATATATTTGGTAAGCACTCTGAGATCCTGGAATGAAAGGCACTGTAAAGGTCTAAGGTAATATTAACATCTCAAGGTCATGCAGTAAGTCTGTGGCAGAGTGATGAACAGAATCAAAAGCAGAGTGGCACAGCAAAAGTGTGCCAAGTCTATAACTGAGAGGTCAATGGATTGAAACGGTCTTCTGCTAGTTCTTATGGTCTGTGTTATACAGGAAGTCAGGCTGGAAGATCACAATTGTCCCTCTGGCCTTGGAATCTATGAATTCAGGAGACCCAATTCCCAATCCCCTGCTACAATCACTAGACACAACACTGCCTCCCAGAATTCAAACATTCATTCACAAGAGTACTTTGACTCAGCTTCCTCAGACTGGAAGTCTTAAAATGCTGGCAACTCATCTCATTCTGTTGCATGAATACTTAAAGGAAAGGAAAGAAAAGGAACGGAACGGAACAGTAAGTAAATAATAATAATAATATACAATACCTGAGATTCATAAAGCTTCTCCTTCCTGTTTGCTACCTCATTACGGATGATAGTTCCAATATATTCAATGATCATGGTGTGCTTTTCAATGTCTCTAGCAGCATATAAGCCCAGGCCCTACAAAGGGAATACTGTGTGATTTAGAACTGGAGAATCAATGCACATTTACATTTGATTCTTTTGGTGTGCCCCCAAGCCATGCTTGGAGAAAATCTATATCTACACATGCAGAAATGATACATAATGAAAGATAAAAAGTGACATGGTTGAAAAAACACAAAAAGTCAGCAAATGCAAACAGCGACCTTAGCTCCAGCATATATACACATTCAATATGTTTAACATATACAATTGGAAATATAAACAGTGATATATTAAGTGACATATTCACCCAGAAAACAGGAAAAGCAGAGTATATGAGCAACATGGCTGAATTAATATATACTTTTAAAGTTTAAAACAGAGAACTATCTGAGCAATTACATTCTGTGATTTCTTCACTTCTTCATCTCCTGATTTGTTGTGATTTTAACTACACAGCTTTAATGATGCAAAATCAGTTTTCTGCATTTAATTTCTTAGTTTTTTTAAAATAAGAGAAAATGCTTTGCAATTATTTATCTTGCAGCCAACTGAGCTAGTAGGCTTCTTACTCTAGAGTTATTTGACTTATGCAGAGATTGTGAATTCCTTGAACAATAAAGAGTACTTTCTAGCACCAAATAATTTAAATGTGTGCTATGGTGTTTTATCCATTTAAATAATCTTCCACAGTCCAACCTAAAATAGACAGCAAATATATACAAGGCATGTTATACAGATTTGGCAACACGTTCAGTGGAGCTGAACATCTGGGAGGTTTGCAGAAGTCAATAAATTGACTATTTAATTGTATTAACATGACAAAGTATTTTACTCAACATTCTGGACTCGCATTATTTCTGTTCTCCATTTTTTAATGAGCTAGCTTGGTCTAAAATTAGCCACTAGATATGCAGATGATCCTCCCACTGCTGCTGGTAAAAAAGATTCTGTATATTTTAGTTTTTTCACTAAACTGCATTTTGTTTTTGAGAAAAAAGTTAAAAGGACCTAACCAGTAAAACAACACAACTCAGTTTTGCAAGCTAGGGCTTCAGTCAATTAAAAAAAAAAAAGATTTAAATTAAACGACCACCTTTGTTACATACAATAGATGGAAACTGATCACCACACATATGCCGTAAATTCCCTTCAGACTTTACTAGACTCTACAGACTGTAGGGAATTGTATTTAGGAATAAAAATCTCAAAAATACAGCTATATTGTAACTGACCTGAATCCGAGAGCGAGCCAGATACACATTGGATTTCCATTCAGTCTTCATTTTACGGTACTGGGAGGACTTGGAATGGACAAACTGTTTACTGTAAGGCGCATTTAGCTCTCCTGTCACTGTGCTCTGAAATGACTTTGAGGTGCTGGTGCTATTCAAGGTGTGAGGCCTGCAGGAATTGGGCATATAACAGAAAAAAATACAAGGAAAACTGAAGATTTCTCCGAATTAAACCACAAGCTGAATTGTATTAAAACTTTTTTCAGACAAACATACACTTAAAGCCAGCTAGCATAGACAACAAAGCGGTTCCTTTGATTCGGGCATGCACATACACAGCCAAAGACAACAGGGTTTGTAAGCAGCAGACAAAAGCACAAATAACCCTAAGCAGCCTATAAACCCTGGGCTGTACTATGTGAAGTTAAAACAAAATACCTTAACACAAACCTCTTGACATGGGTACTCATTTTAGGCTCAGCACGGGCACAGCCTGTGGGGTTGATGGCAAGAGGAAGTTCCATTAAAGGGTTTCGGCCATATCGGAAAGTGTAGTTCTCACAACCCTCAACCCCAGGAAGCTGTAAGAAACAAAGTAATCACATGTTAACACATCAGAAAAACATCCACACAGTAGTCTGTCTTTTTAAACATGGCACAGGCAAAGCGCTCACAGTTGCTCAGACTTAAGACTTGACACTGCCTTCTGATAAACCTTCAGTAGCATTTCCTTGACAAAAAGCTGTTTTGACTCTTATCTATATTCCATCAGACTAACTAATTTGCAAATATAGAAATATGGAGAGAGACACTGAGTCTTAGCAAAACTCCCTTTTCCTCCTGGCTAATTTTCTCTAAAGAACACGTGGTGAGAGCAGGGTGTGGCATGCTTCCATATCACAGCAGACACTTCCCCTGTAATGCACTATTTTTCGGGTGTGCGTTATGAGTAAAGATGGTAGAAAGTTTTTGTTCAAAAAATTATCTCACCACACAATGAGGAAATTTCAATTTTAATGACAAATTTTGATTTTTCCATGGGAAATTTCAAAACATTTTTTGTTTTAGGTCAGCTTAATGCTTTGGTTTGGTTTTGGAAATCACAAAATTTTGGCTTTCAAATGTTCAGTTTTTGGATTTTTAGGTTCTTCTTTCCTGAAAATGTATGTAAAGCGTAAGAAGGTGGAGGAAAAAAGGAATCTTACTTTCTCACACCTTCTTACTGTTTTCCTTCTGCTGTGTGTGTGTGATTGATCCAGTAACTCTTGTGTGTTACATGCAGCACATTTATTTGCTACAACCTTTCATGTTCTCAACGGAACAAAACAGAACTCCAAATGAAGAATCAAATGGAACCTCTTCGTATTCGGGTTAATCACCTGGGGGAAGTGCAGGCTGGATTTCCCCAACTGCGCACCCTCCGCCAGCGGTTAGGTTGGGAGAGGGTAACTTTGGTTTCCCCTGGGGACTACAGGCCTGCTGGCTGAGGCTGCACCAAATCATTCGGTCTCTGGCCACTCTGCTAATCCTTTCTTGGAGTAGTTCCACCCACTCTTTGGCTAGCACAGGCATCCAACAGGTTCCCAGGTGGAGGGAAGGCTGACTCTGCCATGTGGAATTTCCCTCCCCGCAGACACTCCAAGGGCCCCTGTGGCCTGTTTCACAATTGCAGAAGCTTCACAAATATGTATGTGATAAATGTATCATTTTCATCTGAGATGTTCTAAATTGTTGTAAACCTTTAATTAGAGTAAGAGTCCCGAATTGTTGCAGCAATGAACTCACTGATTCAGCAATTCTTGCCACGGCAGAGACTGTCAAACCAAAGAGGTCTTCACCCTTCAAATATCCAGGAAAGAGCTGTAGCATTTCAGATTCTTTTCTAACAGATGCAACAGGCTCCAAGATTTTATCCCACACACCTACATGACCACATGGAAAAAGATTATAATGAGCAAATAAAGAAAGCCCACAGACACTGCAGTTATACCTAACAAGTAAGGAAATTGGAGTAGGACACCTATAATGAAAAAGGCCACAGAGTACCAGATAGTTGATTTTATATCTAAAGGGAACAACTTAATGAAATAAAATATCCCACTTCACCACGGTGTTAAAGTCTGAAATGGAGACTCATTTGGGTAGTTATGTTGTGCTGAGTACTCTCAGACAGTGTTGTGTCTCTATTATACTTCTCTTGATTTTGAAGAACGTGACAAACACTTGAGCACTGGATAAAAACTTTTACATCACTAATTCCATATTACAAATTCCTACTCATGTAATCAGGCAACTAAGTTTCTCCTGCTAAACATTTTAAAAATGACCACAAAATAAATAAACTTTCCTTAAATAAATGGAATTTTCCACTTCCTTAAGTTGATGATTTTTTCTCTCTTCCTGACCCAGATGTCTCATGGTGGTATAATATGTTGTTATGGAGGGAATCAAAGATCTGAGTTTGAGACTCCAGCTCAGTTCCTTTCTCACCACCCAAGAATTGCTTGGGATGCTGTAGAGACAGCATGCTTAGCTGAAGAGAGCAACTTTAGTCAGTTTGCTAGGACCCTCTCGCAAGTTTTCAGGAGAGGTGTTAATAGACTAGAGAGTGCATCTTCAACCCATAAGATGGATGCATATTTGGCTAATGGTGAAGGTAGGACATAGCGGTGGTGGCAATGTAGCAAGGATTCTTTCAGCTCCAAGGATCCCATAACCTCCAAGATCCCTGATGTCACCAATCACACAGATGACAAACATGCCCCCATTCTTCTATCCAGCCAATTCTCATCACTATCATCTGAGCCCAAAGGGATCCTTGGAGGTCAGTCAGAGCCTTAAAAATCCATCAGTTTTCTCTGACATTCACCACCCCACTTGGGATTCTGCACAGCAGTTCAAGAGCAGTGAATCATGCTCCCTTCATAGCTTGACAATGCCACTGAACAATTAGTTAAATGGGTCTCTGTTGAACACCACAAGATATTTTTATTTTCATCAGGGTCTGAGTGCACTGCTTACTTCTAGTGCCTCCATGCCCAGAAAGTGACTAAAACCAGGAGATGGATCCATGACTAGTAGAATACTGCTGAGCTGGCTAAACATACTTTCAAGTATGGGTCTACTCCGAAAAGAGACTATGTAAAAAACATCTTTGTAATTTCACAGATGTGTGCGCGTATTCAGACTCCATTCTACTTCAGTGACAAAAATATTCATGTTAGCCCTGCAAAGCTAACACAGCTAAGACTGAGTGAGCTGGATTCTATTACAATTCGTAAACCATGTACAGAACAGTTTAGTAAGTTGGAGCTGGTTATGTCTGTGCAAGCTACTGCAGGCATAATTGACAATAATGGGGTTGCACAGGTGTAAATAGCAGGTGTTATGTGTGAGAAAGAAATCAGCTTGGCTCTCAGAGTCTAGGCTGTGTTTGCACAGCTGGCAGCTGGAAAAAAAGATCTTTTTACTTGTAGCTTGAACACGTCTGATCTGGAGATCATTGAGCCAGAATGAAAATAAAACCGCAAAAGGTCATATTTAGAAAGCCACTTTTCAGAGCAGAAATACACACAAAATATTTTTTTTTATTTTGTCCAATGTCATGTTTATTGTTTTGGCTTCTTTATGAGCTTGTTGCAAGTATCCTTTCT